TTTCTGATTAACCCAAATATTAGTTTCAAACAAGGAGGCAGGAGAAGTAACAGTTAGGGCTGAGTGTTTCCAGTCAACGAGGAAAAGCCAGAAGCCCCACTGTTTGAGTGTAAGTCAAAACCACCCGACATGTTCTCTACAGGGCTGTGTTTTAAGAAGCTAGTAGGACTTTGATAATTACGGTTGTCTTTTTATAATAGCATTTACAGTTGGTACATTTTGGTCTCTGAAATATTTGGTATTGTACACAGATGGTGCTGAGGGAATCAAAGCCGGTGGAGTTTCAGGGGTGCCAGTGCACCTGTGTGGCAGGTACAGTCCTGTGCAGCCATGTGGCAGCTCTGCTTTTCCAGACGGCTCACTACTCCCAGTTGAAGCTTCCAGCTGTTCCTCCAGTCCTAAGCTGCACAGACACCGAACAGAAGTGGCATAAACCGAGGACAATGGTAACTACATATTGATGACTCTTTATTCCTGCTTATGAATTATAGTTCAATACTGTATTTACATCAATGTTGTTTTTGGATGCAGGGCATAAAACCTGGTCCAGTTAAGGACATGGTCGTCCTGTCAGCAAAACCAAGAGAGAGGAAAATCTTTGAAGGAATTAGGTTTGTTTTAATTTAAAGAACACAGACACATGCACAAACACACACACACACATTTTTAAAATTCATTAAATTTACTATCACAACACATGCACAAGAAGTGCATGTTTTGCTGTTTTATGTGCTTTATACATAAAATGTTATGGTATGGTACTTAAGCTTATGTTGTACTATGCCAGAGATAGGTTAAAAATGCAAATAAGTAATTAATCAAACTTCGTTTTTAAACAAGACAATAACTTTATTGCCTAAAATACAATAACATAGGCTTTATTTAGTATAAATTTCATCATTTGCCTATTAATGTCTTGTTTATGACAAATTTTTATTTTTCTCAACAGAAGCAACTTGTATAAAGGCACTACCAGCCCTCTGCCACTCATCTCGACCCTAAGGATACAGGATGTGTACCGGGGACTTCCAGCTGAAGAAGCGCCAATGATCACCACAATGGCTGTCTCCAACGATGTCCCTCTTGTTGACTCTTTGTTTGGTCCAGTACAAGAGGGAAGTGTTCTGTCATATCAGCTGCCAGCAAAGGTAGTTCCCAGGACCCGTCCACACCAACACGTCCTTTCTCCCCCACAGCTTCCACTCTACAATTACAGGCTTGAACACTCCAGCTGTGCGTATGTATGTTCAGAACAACAGCAACACCATATGATGTCCCTTGAGACAACGTTAGAGATGTCTCACAAAATTGAGAGCAGCACACGGGAGCAGAGCTTCTGTCCAGAGTGGCACCAACTAAGAAAGTGTCGTGTTACTTCAACAAGGTTTAGGGAGGTCTGTCACACCAGGGGTGACAGCTCTTCTGAAAATCTTGCGAAAAGGCTTCTGAGACCCTGCAGTCAAACTGCTGACATGCGTCGGGGGCTTACCCTAGAGCCAACAGCTATAGAGGAGTATTGCAGGGTAAGGGAAGTAAACCACTACCCATGTGGGTTCTTGATACATCCTGAAGCACCATGGATGGGGTCATCACCAGATGGAATTATTTACGATCCTGAGGAGCAACAAGTGTTTGGCCTTTTAGAAATAAAATGCCCAAATGTGACAAGCTATGTGGACTGCTCTTACATAATGATTAGGGATGGTAGGCAGACACTCAAACGTACACACCCATATTACTGGCAAATCCAGGGACAAATGCTAATTTCAGGGTGTGACTGGTGTGACTTTGTCATTTACACAGAAAATGACATGTTTATTGAGAGGGTTCCCCGTGACATGCAAGTACTGCAAACCATAAAACAAAAGGTTGACCATTTCTTTTTTTATTTTTACCTCAGCGCTTGCCTGGCAAATTAAGGTAACATAGTCAAATTTTAACCTTTGCATATATGATTGAAAATACTGTTAATACTTGTGTCATGTTCCTTCCATTTATATTATTTTTAAGCAGTTAGATTTATGTATTTCTCTTTAAGGTCAGATACAATTTATTCTGTTTGAAATTAGCTATTAGGCTGTTATAATCATACCCTCTTTGTGAACTGTGTTTTTCTGTTTCAACAGTTTGCATTCACTAGATGAGTGGCATTTTTTGAAAAAATAAAATAAAATAAAATAAATTTTTTCATTTCAGTTTTATTAGTACTGTATTTCAATATCCCACTTGATGGCTTGACTTATATGAAAAATGTTATAAAAGAACTGATTTAATGGAAAAAGTTCAGAGAAATTGAAATATTTATGACAGTGATTTAATTTTATTGTAAGTACAAAAAAACAAAATCAAACATAGATATACAGCATATTTTCCTGCTGTTAATCAGATGTCAGGCTTCTTTGCCCAGGCCTTTACTAGTGGGCCATTTTCATAATTTGTGAGTAGACAAGCAACAGTGAACAGTTGGTTGATTATACCAAAAACACCTAGGGGAATTTCAGAGTCAAGTAACTTGTGCTCTTTGACCCGGCGAATGAGGCGCTCCACATGCACCCTGAGACGTGCTATGTCCTGGGTCTCTCTAACATCCTCAGCAGACATCTGAGACCTGCCAGACAGAAATGCTGGCCTGTAAACTTTGCAGGGAACAATGTCATCAATAAGAAAGCCCCTGTCCACCATAACAGCCATCCCTGGTTTTAACAGCGTGATGAGACCAGATTCACGGGTGATCTGCTTGTCACTGATAGACCCGGCATACAGTCCAGAGATGAATGTCACTGCCCCATGAGGTGCAATCCCAATCAGCCCTTTCAGAGTGCAGTGGGATTTATAAGATGAAAACACCTCACTCTGGAGGAGAGGGGAAGATGGGCACTGACACCTCAGCTCAGTGCAGTCAAGGATGACTGTAGTGTCAGGGTAGTGTTTGAAGTCTGCCGGTAGATGTTTTCGTATATGTTCCTCCGGTATCCAGATCCTAATTGAACCTAAGACTGTAAATAAGAAATTGCTCCATGTTGTGATGATCCTGCTGACAGTGGACTGATGGACACCGTACCGGTCAGCAAGATCACGTTGCTTGGATCCAAGGGCAAGGTAATTTAAAAACATGAAAAACTCATCGATGGGCTGCAAAGTACAAGTTGATGGAGTGGAGTCGAGGGCAGTTCCTCTCTGTCCTTGGCGAACACTGACCATGGATGGCAGAGAGGGCTCAATCATGCCCCAGAAATGCATCAGAAGGTCATATGATGCAAACCTGAAAAAAAAACATACCATAACAATTAGTGTCCATGTTAAACTACACAGCATACTTAAAAATAAATTCAACCCCAGGCACTGTGCTGTAATACTGTAATTAATTTAGAATATAAATACTTATATGGAAGATTGGTATTAGTTATTTGTCATGTTACATTATTCATAGATGACTGTTGTTTGAATTGATATTTTGAGTTAATTTTGTTTTAAAGAAGGGGCTGATATGATAAGATTATTTCTTCTGCTACCTTTCATTTTATGTATTTTTTTCATGTGGTTTTGTAAATTGTTTTTTTTGGGCTTTAAGTATGAAATGAACACAAAAAATTAAAATAAATGAAATGTATACATACACACAAATAATATACCTAGGCACATAGACACACACACACACACACATTAAATATAGAGAGAGACAGAGAGAGAGCGAACTTAATTCAAACTGAATTTTTCGCTTTAGCATAGAACTCGTGAAAAGGTTTTCTAAAATAATTTTATACTCTGTGTAACACAAACGCGCGCGCATCCCCCTCCTCACACACACACACACACACACACCTACCTTGTGAAGAATCTAATGTCCTTGTCGGAGGATGCAAAACGGTGAATGCCGAATCGCTGCCTCAGCGTCAGGCTCTCAACCTGTTCCCGTAGCTGGCGGACTTCCTCCCGGAGATTATTATTTTCCTCCAGCACTGAATCCACAACTGCAGGGTCTGGACTAGCAGCATAATCGTGATCCTTATGGGTGTCTACACTGGCTGTTGTATTATCTTCCTCCTCGCTGTCCTCTGGAGGTGGTCTTTTCCTTCTCTCCCAAACCGCGGGTCTTGGTGGTGGAAGGGAGTAATTATTCCATTCAAACAAAGCAGGTGTACAGCTCCCTTTTTTAACATCCGTCTTCCCTTTTCGGATACTGGCTCTTGAATGTCCTCAGGTTTGAAATGCCGACTACAAACGCGGGTGTGAACTTTTAAAGCTAAGTTTTCCCTGCGGATAGCCACGGTCCATTGTCGCCTTAACTCCTCATCGGCAGGAAAATGGAAAAAACTAACTACTCTATTGTACCTACTGGTTAGTGGACACAACGGCACACAACAGAACTGACTTGCAGTGCCAGTAGATCGCAGACGCTTTCCGTTTTGAGTCTTTTTCATGGTTACTACTAGTAGCTTATGCTAAAAACAACTGCAGTGGATAGGAGCCGGAAGTGATGGACCCTTCTGAAATTTTAACGGAAGTACGTCACCACTGACATGAAAATCGTAATGGGCGACTTGAACGCCAAAGTGGGAAGTGACAACACAAACAGAGAACTCATCATGGGCAGGCATGGCGTAGGAACCTGCAACGAGAACGGAGAGCTGTTTACAGATTTCTGTTCATTCAACGACCTCGTCATAGGGGGCACCATCTACCCACATAAGAAGATCCACAAGACAACGTGGACTTCACCAGATGGAAAGACTGATAACCAGATAGACCACTTCACCATAGACCGCAAGTGGAGACGGAGTGTGATGGATGTCAGAGCAAGGCGCGGCGCCGACGCAGCCTCAGACCATCAGTTGCTTGTGGCAACAGTGAAGACCAAGCTGCGATCCTTCTGTGACTCATCCGGCAGACCACATCACAAGTTCAATATACAGTTTTTGAAAGACAGTAAGAAGAAAGAAGAGTTCAATTGTGATGTCAAGAACAAGTTCGAAGCGCTAGCAGATCTGGTTGAAGAGACAGTAGAGAACCACTGGGCTGAACTACAGAAGACCTGGAAGACCGCTTGCACCAATGTTCTGGGGAAGAAGGAGAGGGAGCAGAAAGAATGGCTGTCACAAGAAACGTGGAAGAAGATTGAAAAGAGGAGAGAACTAAAGCAGCAGATAAACAGATGTCAGGACCAACAAGAGAAGTCAGAACTTAGAGCAGCGTACTGGGAATCGAACCGAGAAGTGAAGAGGAGTGCCAGACAAGACAAGAGAGAGTTTGTACACAGCTTGACAGAGGAGGCAGAGACAGTAGCAAGTCAAAACAACATGAAGAGACTATACGAAATAACACGTGCCTTGTCAGGAAAGAACTTCAACCCAAGCAAGCCAGTCAAGGACAAGAACGGAAGAACCGCCACAAGCGATGCAGACCAGAGGACACGATGGGTGGAGCACTTCGAAGAAGTTTTGAATCGACCACCACCAGCAGTGACTCCTGACATACCTCCAGCGGAGGACCCCCTTCGTGTCAACACCAGCCCACCAACCAAGGCAGAGATCACCAAGGCTATCAAGTCCTTGAAGAACGGCAAGGCAGCAGGTCCTGACGGCATCCCTCCAGAAGCTCTCAAGGCAGACGCGGCAGCAGCAGCAGAGATGTTACATCCTCTCCTACTGAAGATCTGGGAGGAGGAGCAGGTACCTGCCGACTGGAAGTTAGGCTACCTCGTGAAGCTGCCCAAGAAAGGTGACCTTTCCCAGTGCGGCAACTGGCGAGGAATCATGCTGCTGTCCATCCCCAGCAAGGTGCTGACCAGAATCATCCTGGAGAGATTGAAAGAGGCACTAGACATTAGACTTAGAACAGAGCAGGCAGGATTTAGGCAAGACAGTTCATGTACGGACCACATCGCCACCCTGCGCATTATCATCGAGCAGTCCATCGAATGGCAGTCTCCGCTGTACACGACCTTCGTCGACTTCGAGAAAGCCTTCGACAGCGTCGACAGGGAGACCATTTGGAGGTTGATGCAGCACTACGGAATCCCACAGAAGCTCATCAGCATCATCCAACAGTTATATGAAGATTCATCCTGCCAGATCATCCATAACGGGAAGCTGACAAACCCCTTCACAGTGAAGACCGGAGTGAGGCAAGGCTGTATGCTGTCACCGACAATCTTCCTGATCGTCATGGACTGGATCATGAGGAGAGCAACAGAGGGCACCAACACCGGCATCCAGTGGACCTTCACCAAAAAATTGGAGGACCTGGACTTTGCGGACGACATCACCCTTCTGTCCCACACGCTACAGCATGCACAGTCCAAGCTCATTCGTCTCGCCGAGGAAGCAAACAAGACCGGCCTGAAGATTAACACCAGGAAAACAGAGGTGATGCGACTGAACAACAAGAAGAAAGAACCATTGCAGCTGCAGGGAGAAGACATCAAGGAAGCTGACCGCTTCGTTTACCTTGGAAGTGTGGTCAGCACAGACGGCGGCGCAGATGAAGATGTTAGGAGCCGGATCAACAAAGCAAGGCTCGCCTTCAACACTCTGCGACCCATCTGGAACTCCAAAGCCTTATCCCAGCGCAG